TCTCTCTCTCTGTTTCCTTTGCAGCTCAAACTCATTGATCATGAAGCGGCTCTTTATGCAGCTTCAGCCTGCGGTTACTCTCTCGCTCATGTGATGGAGACCACGCTCTGTGCCTGACAACAAACGGCAGCTCTTTGATGCTGGATGCGCGTTCGGGATGGACGTGTGCTGTAGGAACCCGAACCGGACGGCGCCGGTCGGTGAGGACGGCCCACGGCGAGCTGACGTGCTGCTCTGCTCTCGGACCAACGGTTGGAGCTGGCCTCCGCACCCCTTTCAGCTGCTCGCCTGGCTGCTCTACATCTACTTTGCCGTCACCGGGTTCGGCATTTTCGTCCCCCTGCTGCCTGCACACTGGATCCCTGCGGGCTACATCGTATCCTTCCACTGCGTGGACAGACCACCACCGCACCACTGGTAGCGAGGTGTACAGATAAACACATGTGAACTTTCTACACCAGTAGCATTTTTTTCTATGGAAAAAAAAATGTGAGGTTTTCCTCAAAATATAGTGTTAGTTTAGTCAAAGAATAGAGCGAATTGTCTTTCAAAAGCTGATGACGCTTTTCCTCAAATTATTACAGCTTTTTTCTAAATATTTCGTGTTTTTGTCTTCTAAAAATTCCAGTTTTTTATTATTTTAACTGGATCGTAATTCAGGTGAGTTCTCAAATTTGTGTCCCAGATACTTTGGTTGTACAGTCGACAATCTATAATTTATTCATTCTGTCTGCTGGTTTATTTAGCACAGCCAGTGTAAAGTCTGGCAGTGTTAGGGAGCTGTTTTTGGTAGTGTCTGATGCCTATGAAAATATGAAAAACAACCACTATTCAAAATGTAATTTCCACATTGTCTGATAGCATTGAGGTATTGTTACTGAGGGGACAGACAGTGATTTCAGGTCTTTTCTTTAGGTGAGGTGTTACAGTGTTGCGCCGGCATGTCTGTGTTTGATTCCTGATCTCTGTGTCAGTGTACGGGCATCATGTTTGTGTGTCACCTGTTTGTCCACGTCATGGCCGTGTCCATCGATCCAGCCGACTACAATGTCAGAGCGAAGAGCGTCCGAGGCCCGGTCCCCGTGTTCGACCGCTCCAAACACGCGCACGTCATCGAGAACTGCCACTGCTACCTGTGCCAGGTCGAAGTGTGAGTAACAAACAGAGGCTTTTCAACGCATGTATGCCGCATCATACTATCGTTCCCGAAACTGCCGGATACCTTCATCCCAATGATAAAAACTCTCAAGTGCTCTCTAAGCTTGTATTTTAATATTTAGCTGTTTTATGGTCATTGTTGAGTTTTGTTGATGAGTCAGCAGCAGCGGTGACACATTTGAAAGCTCACAGCCTTTTCAGATGGGATGCTGTCGGGTTAGTTTGATGCACTAATCTCAGGGTGAGTCTCAGCGTGTTGTGGAATATTTTTTTAAAAATAGGGATGTGTACAGATCATCTTTAAATTTTGTAATTACACTTGCTGTTGAGCAATTTACCTTTTAGATCAATACACATTGTTTTCTTCTTGTTTATTGAAATGTAAAACAAGTGATTTTCACTTTATATATAAAATGTGTTGTTTGTATGATTCTAATGTATTAATTATAGTGATTATAATGTTTCTGAAGTGGACACTAGGGATTGGTAAGGATATAGCTTCCAAATTCTATCATG